CCTACTGCTTAGCAAGTTTTCAATTCCCTCAGCAGAGCCCCCGCAGAACCGGCGTCTCTATCACCCCCATCTCGCCCCTGGACAAGTCCTCCAGAAACCAGGGTGCCCCTCCTTATGCCCTGTTCTGGGAGGTGGACACGGGACTCACCTCCTTCCCCTCACCAAGGACCAAGGGCCCCAGGGTGGCAGGCTTCGGGGGCTGGGAGTCAGGGAGGGACTGGGGTGGTGGCTGGGACGGGGGTGGGGGGGTTGGGGTGCTGGTTGGGGCTGTCAGTGGCTCGAAGGGACGCACGATGGTACGGGTCGTACAGCAGAGTGTGCCCCTCCCTGACGCTGATCTCCCCTGCCCCCCTGCACTTGGGAGGGAGACGCCTACGATTGCTGCATCTTGCCCCCTGGGCCAGGTCAGCCCCACCTGCTCACCACCAGGAGGCCCTCCCTGGACGGGATCTCCCAGAAGGGTGACGTGCGGCGGCCCCTCGAAGCAATTGCAAGACACAGGCCGCACGAAGACTGTCAGGGGCTGCCCTGGGCCAGCAAAGGTGGCCTGGGGCAGAGGGCCCGTTTTGGGTGACCCCAGGAAAGGGCGAGCAGCGGCGGCCCCACCCATTTCCCTCTGATAGGAGAGGGATGCACACGTGTGTTGGGCCGTGTGCCTGAGTGTGGGGAACCATCATGAGCAGGCCGGGAGAGGGGCCTGTGCTCTTGGGACGGGGTGTAGTAGTAAGTCGGGGCCTGGCTTGGCCAGGCTTCCATGGATGCCGACCCACCAGCCTCAATCTTCAAGCCCCAGCCTGGCGAGCCAAGCCTGAGCAGGAGCCTCTGCCCCCACCCACAATATAGGAACTACGCAGGCAGGAACAGAACTCAAGAAGCTTTCCCTCATAGGGAATGAAATTGTAATAAGAAATCAAAAGTGAAGAAGAGGTCCCATGGCTTCAGCCCAGTGTGGGCCCTACTTCCAAACTGTATGATCCCGGTGTTTGGTTCTCTTGTTCTCACTTTATGGCAATGGTGGGTGGCCTCGCTTGTGGGTGCCCCAGGCTTGGACCACAGACGCCTGACACGCGTAACCCTAACGCGCCTGCTCAGACCCAATAAAGCCTCCTCAAATAGCCACTGAGGGGGCAAGTCAAAGAGAACCTGGGATCTACGGTTTTGGACCACAGGGGGCACCCCCTGGCGTGACTGCACCTCCTCCCCTGCAGCCCTTCCCTGGAGGGGGGCCAGAGCCACGCCTCGCCCCTCCCCCACCCATAGGGACCCTCTGAGCGGCCGGGCGAGGGGGAGGCCGGAGCTGGGTTCCGAGTGGGCTGCCCGACGGCAGCTTGCCACGAAGTTGCCACGCAGCCAGATGACTCTTCCCGCGCTTCTCGGAAACTCCTGCCAGGTCAGGGAGCGTGGGCCCTGGGAGAAGAGACCTCCGCCCCGTGCACTTCGGCCGCCCTGCAACCCGCTGAGGATGGGCTTCGGGCCCTGTGTCCAACGTGTCCCTGGGAAGTCCTCCTGTCTATGGGGTGCCTGCCCAGGGCCCACTCTGGGGGCACTTGGAAAACAGGCCCACCTGCCAGGGCCTGCCTGGCGGACTCCCAGCGCGGCCCTGCACTGCAGAGCTGGGTTTAGGACCAGAGCCAGGGCTCGGCCAGCCTGTCCCAGCAGAGCCCTCAAGTTGGTGTCCGCCTCAGGGTTCACCTGTGAAGGACAGCGACCCCACGACTGCCCAGGCTCTGGTGGCTTTAAGTCGGTGAAGTCCTTGCATGACCGGGCGCGGCACAGGTGCTGGGCGCTGGTCTGTGCCTGCCACAGCCCTCTTGAGGACGAACAGCCACCCTCGGCTCACAAGTGGAAGGTCCGCACGGACGCCTGGTGGGCCAAGGACCCCCAAGTCAGAGGGCCCAGCAGCGGTGCCTCCTCCAGGCCTCAGAGGCCGGGACCCTGGGGGTCTGCGGTCTGGAGAGCGCCGCGGCCTCGGGGGACGAACCAACCTAAGCCCGTGCGGGAGACGATGGTGGCGTATTTTCCGTCTGCTCAGGCACGCAGGGGGCAGGGGGGCTCCGGGTCTTCTCTCGACACGGAAGTCCAGCCACGCCATCAGTCCACGGTGAAACGCACGGCCATGCTGAGGGGTCCTCCTTCAGGCCTCCTTCCTTCCAGCGAGAGGAAGGGAGAAGTCCAATTTCCCATTGCCCCCCCGGGAAAGGGGCCCTGGGGGCCCCACCAGTTCGGGCTGGAGCCACCCTCCCCTGGGACCGCCCACCCCCGAGCCTGGACCTCTCACGAGAAGGCTGTGCCCCAGGGACGCTGCTCCAGGAAGCGTGTCCCCTACTACAGCTCCCACTCTGTGGAGTGCCGTGAAGCTGAGTTCTCCTCCGCCTCGAGTTTGTCCCCGTGGTAAGGCCTGCGATGTCAGATGGAAGGGCCAAGATAAGAGGTGCCTTTGGTTCGTGCCTTTCTCTCCTTCTCGTCCAGCCACACACTGGCCCTGCAGCTGTGCACTCCGTCCAGCGCGCGTTCGGGGCCCACGACGCGCTAGCGGGTACCAGGCGACTTCCTTTGGGAATTATGGATCACACCTGCCCTGGTGAACTCCCGGGAGCGATATGATCCCACTGGATAGTCAAGTTTAAGGCTTTCCCCAGGCCCCTAGGAGTCCCCCAGGGAAGCGTGCGGAAGGGGATGGGTCTCCACAGGGACAGGGCCCGAGGGCCTCCACCGGAGGGTGGGTCGGTGTTTTCTGGCCCTCCGGCCCCTGCAGAGAGACACATGGATGAGGAGCAGAGCACTGAAAAGCCGGCCCTCCCTGGGGCAGTGTCTTGCGGGCCCTGGCCCCAAGCGGCTTCGTCACTGTCCAGGGTCCAGGCCCTGACTGGAGGCGTGTCCTGGGCCCAAGAGGCACCGCAAACCTCGTGAAGCCAGCTCACCCCGCTAAACCAACGAGGCCCCCGTTTGTGCTGCGCGAACTGCCTTGAGCCAGAGCGCTCCCAACTGCAGGGGAATGCAACCCCCCAGGCGAAGGCCGCAGTGTAAATGCTGCACGGCTCCGGACCTCCGCACAGCGCAGTGGCAGGGCACAGGCCTTCCAAAGGTGGAGGAAGAATGGAGAAGTGCGCGGGGGCCCTGTACAGCCCAGTGCAAGACGGGTGTGGTGTGGCGCCCAGGCTCCAGGGCGCGCGCGGAGAGGGTAGAGGCTCAAGCGCGTCCACGGGATCTCATGCTTGCAGGGTGTGGGGGTCTTCACTCCCTCGTCATGGGAAGTCAGAAATGTGGGGCTGCCTCAAGCCCTCATGGTCAGGAATTGGGTGTCTGCATCACTCATTTGGGGCAGGGTGTGGTTCCTCAGCCCTCGGTTGCGGGGTCAGGGTTATGGGTGTCCTCAAGCACTCCATGGGGTCAGTGTGTGGGGAGTCCTCCAGCCCACAGGGGTCTTTCATGTATGGTGGGTGTCCTCAGCCCTCATGGTCGGGTCAGGTTGTGCAGTGTCCTCAGCTCGCTCTCATGGGTGTGTCTATGGTGTGCGGGTGTGTCCTTCAGCCCTCATTGGGGTCAGGTGGATGTCCGCAGCCTTTCTCTTTCTTAGTGTGGGGTTCAGTGGTTGGTTAGGAGTGGCCTGCTTCAGCTTCTCTCTATGGGTGTGTTCTAGGCGGTGGTGGGGGATGTCCTCAGCCCTCGTTTTTTTGGGTTTGTCTAGTTGTGTGTGGCCTCTACCCTCTGGGGGTCGAGGGTATGGGATAGTCCTCAGTTCTATCCTACATGTTCAGATGGTGGTCCTCAGCCCTCTATTGGCGTGCCACAGGGGTGGGGTCCCTGCCTCGAGCCCTCTGGATTGCGGTAGGTCGAGTTGGGGTGGATGTTCCTCACCCGCATGGGGTCCAGGTGTGATTTGGAGCTGTCCTCAGCCCTGTGTTGGGTCAGTGGGGTTTGGTGGGTCCCTCCAGCCTCGGTGTTGGGGTTCAGTATGGGTCTGAGTCCGCAGTCTCACACTGGGTTCAGAGTGCGTGGGTGTCCTCAGCTCCTCATGGGGGTGCAGTGGTGTTGTGTGTGGTCCCCAGCCTCGTCAGTGGTGCCTTAGGCGGGTGTGGGTCCTCCGTAGCGCGTACATGTGTCATGATTTGTGGGGCTGTCCTCAGCCCCTATGGGGTTCAGGGTGCTGGGTGCCTCAGCCCTCATGGTTCAGGTGTGGGGTTGTCCTCAGCCCTCATGGGGGTCAGGGTGTGGGTCCTCAGGCCCTCATGGGGTGCAGGGTGTCGCGAGCCTACATGCAAGATGCTCAGCCCCATGGGGTCAGGGTTGTGCGGGTGTCCCTCAGCCCCTTCATGGTCAGGGTGTGGAGCCAGCGCGCCGCGAGTGGGTCAATTGATGGTGTCGCTCAGCGGATGGGTCAGGCGGTGGATGCCGCAGGCGCGCGACGGGGGGGCAGGGTGGGACTGTCCTCCAGCCCTCGCGTCCAGCGTCGGGTGGCCTCAGCGCGCCTCATGGGGCAGGTGTGGGTTCCTCAGCTACATGTCCGTTCAGAGTGGTGGGTGTCCCTCAGCCCTTCATAGTTCAGGTGTGGTGTCCTCAGCCCTCATGGGGTTCAGAGTGTGGTGTCCTCAGCCCTGTCCGATGTGGGGGTCAAGAAGTGTGGGTGTCCTCCAGGGAGGGCTGAGGACATCCCACACCCTGACCCCCATGAGGGCTGAGGACATCCCACACCCTGACCCCAATGAGGGCTGAGGACACCGCACACCCTGACCCCCATGAGGGCTGAGGACACTGCACACCCTGACCCCCATGAGGGCTGAGGACACCCACACTCTGAACCCCATGTAGGCTGAGGACTCCCCACACCCTGACCCCCATGAGGGCTGAGGACACCCCATACCCTGACCCCCACGAGGGCTGAGGACACCCCACACCCTGACCCCCATGAGGGATGAGGACACCCCAAATTCTGACCCCCATGAGGGCTGAGGGCACCCCACATTCTGACTCCCATGAGGGATGAAGACACCCCACACCCTGACAGCATGAGATCAGTGGAGCTGACCTCTACCTGCTCTGCGGCCCACCTGGAGCCTGGGCGCCCCCCCCCCGTCTTGCAGCAGTGGGGTGTGCAGCTGGGCCCCAGAGCCCAAGTCCTTACCCATCTCCATTCCCTCCCCCACATGTCTGGAAGGCCTGTGCCCTGCTGCGCTGTGCGGATGGAGCCGTGCAGCGTTTACATGCGGCCTCGCCTGGGGGGTCAGTTCCCTGCAGTGGGCGCTGGCTCAGCAGTTCGCAGACCAAACGGGGGCCCCTCGTTGTTAGCGGGGTGAGCTGGCTCAGAGGTGCGGTGCCCTCTTGGGCCCAGACAGCCTCCAGTCAGGGCCTGGAACCCCCTGGACAGGTTGACGAAGCCCCTTGGGGCCAGGGCCCCGCCAAGACCACTGCCCCAGGGAGGCCGGCTCAGTGCTTGCTCCTCACTCCATGTGTCTCTCTGCAGGGGCCGGAGGAGCCAGAAACACCGACCAACTTCCCGTGAGCCTCGGGCCCTGTCCTGTGAGACCCATCCCCCTCCACCTTCCTGGGGGCTCCTAGGGGCCTGGGAACCCTTAAACTTGAACTTCCAGTGGGGATCTCGCCTCCCGGGTTCCCCAGGCAGTGTGATCCAAATCCCAAAGGAAGTCCTGGTACCTTAGCGTGTGGCCAATGGCAGGGGCACAGCTGCAGGGCCGTGTGTGGCTGGAGAGAGGGGAGCCAGAAAAGGCACATTTTGCCATCTAAATCTGCAAGAATGCCAGGCACATTTCAGAGGGGAAACTGAGGCAGAGAGGAGATGCAGCTTCCCCCGGTCACAGAGTGGGAGTGGGGGGACAACCCTGGAGCAGCGTCTGGGCACAGCTACTCTAAGTGAGAGGTCCAGGCTCGGGGGTGGGCGTCCAGGGAGGTGGCTCAGCCCGAACTGTGCCCCAGGCCCCTTCCCGGGGGGGCATGGGGACTGACTTCTCCCTTCCTCTCTGAAGGAAGGAGCCCTGAAAAAGGAGGACCCCTCAGCCATGCCTGCGTTCACCGTGGACTATGGCGTGCTGGACTTCCAGTGTCGAGAGAAGACCCCGGAGCCCCCTGCCCCCTGCGTGCCTGAGCAGACGGAATACGCCACCATCGTCTTCCCCAACGGGCTAGGTGTCTCGTCCCCAGGCCGCAGGGTCTCAGCCGACAGCCCCCAGGGTCCCCGGCCTCTGAGGCCTGAGGACGGACACTGCTCTTGGCCCCTCTGACTGGGGTCCTTGGCCACCAGCGTCCTGCGGACCTCCCACTGTGAGCCCAGGGTGGGCTTGTCCCTCAAGAGGGCTGTGCAGGGCACACAGCGCCCAGCACCTGTGCCAGCCCCTCTGCAGGACTCCGACTTAAAGCCACCAAGAGCCTGGGCAGTGGGGTCGCTGTCCCTTACAGTGAACCCTGAGGCGGACACCACTTGAGGCTCTGCTGGGACAGGCTGGCCCGAGCCTGGCTCTCCTAAACCGCTGCTGCTGCAGTGCAGGGCCGGGCTGGAGTCGCCAGGAGCCTGGAGGTGGGGCCTGTTCGCAAGTGCCCCAGAGTGGCCCTGGGAGGCACCCCATAGACAGGAGGTCCAGGGACACGTTGGACACAGGGCCGAAGCCATCCCTCAAGGGGTGCAGGGCGGGAAGTGCACGGGGCGGGAGGTTCTCCAGGGGCCACGCTCCCTGACCTGCAGGAGTTTCCAGGAAGGCGGGAGAGTCCTGGCTGCGTGGCAAGCTCCTCGTGGCAAGCTCCTCGGCAGCCCACTCGGAACCCACTCCGGCCTCCCCCTCGCCCCGGCCGCTCAGGAGGGTCCTATGGGTGGGGGAGGGGCGAGGCTGGCTCTGGCCCCTCCAGGAGGGGTGAGGGGAGGAGGTGCAGTCACCCAGGGGTTCCCCCCTGTGTCCAAACTGGGGAGCCAGGTTCTCTTTGCTGCCTACTCAGTGCTATTTGGAGGGGCCTTGGCTGGGTTCTTGCAGGGCGTGGTAAGGTGGTGCAGGCGTCCTGTGTCCAGCTGGGCACCCCACAGCGAGGCCACCCCTTGCCATGTGGCAGGACAGCCAGGGTCCAGGTTGGCAGTGGGCACCTGGGTGGTGGACCCTCTTCCTTTGTTTCTATTACATTTTCATTAAACGTGAGGAAAGCTCTGAGTTCTGTCCTGCCTGAGTAGTTCTATTGTGGGTGGGGGCAGAGGCCTCTGCTAGGCTGGCTCAGCCAGGCTGGGGCTGAGGATGAGGATGGTGGTCGGCATCTGGAGCCTGGCCCAAGCCAGGGCCCCACTTACTACCCCAGAAGCACCAGGCCCTCCCAGCCCTGCTCACCTGGTCCACACTCAGGCACACGGCCCCCCACGTGTGAATCCCTTCAACTTCAGGGGATGGTGGGCGCCATCCTCCCCTTTCTGGGGTCCCACGGCCCTCTGCCCCAGGCCACCTTTGCTGGCCCAGGGCAGCCCCTGAACAGTTGTGCCTGTGTCTGCATTGCTCAGGCCCCCACGTCCCCCTTCCCTGGGAGTCCCTCCAGGGAGGGCCCTTGTGGCAGGGTGGGTGACCTGCCCCAGGCCAAGATGCAGCATCGGTAGGGTCCCTCCCCAAGTGCAGGGGGCAGGGGAGATCAGCTCAGGGAGGGGCACACCTGCTGTACGCCCCATCACCATGCTGCGGTCCTCAGCCACTGACAGCCCAACCAGACCCCCAACCCCCCCACCCCCGTCCCCAGCCACCACCCAGTCCCTCCCTACTCCCAGCCCCCCAAGCCTGCCAACCTGGGGCCCTGTCCTTGGTGAGGGGAGAGGTGGAGTCCCGTGTCCACCTCCCAGACAGGGCAAGGAGGGCACCTGGTTCTGGAGACTCCAGGCGAGATGGGGTGAGAGACAGCCGTTCTGGGGCTCTGCTGAGGATGAAAGACTGCTACAGGCAGTAGGAGAATCTGGTAGAGCAGCAGACATAACATTAACACCCAGAGGTAAATGCTTTCCCTATATTCAGATAATCACCAGTGAGAAGATACAGTGACAGGAAGTGTTCCACTACCAACAGCAAGAGATAAGATAAAACTTAATGACCCTGCAACCTGCTGGAGAAGACAACTCTGCCCACCATGGACACAGGGCTCTCGGTTATGTGACCAAAGTAAAACCCTAACCCCCTGCAGACTGGACAGCCCCCTTCTTGACCAAGGGGATCCCAGAAAATCCGTGAAGCTGAGTCCTGGCCACGAGGGGAGAGAGGGTGGGCGTCCCCTAGACGGTAAGATCCGGAAAGACAGCAAAGGACCACACAGAGCAAAGGTCAAACCTCTGCAGCCACCCAGCTGCTCAACAGACCCCCGAGCCCGAATCCTGTGCTTGTCTCTGGTCAACAGACTTCCTTGTCCTAACTGAACACGCTGTACGCCTTGGGACAAAGCTTTATTTCTTTAGCCAAGTCCAACCGAAGAGTCTTTGAACCCACCTCTAACTTGTAAACCCTGACTTGGAGACGTCCCGCCTTTCTGGACCAAACCAACGTACACCTTCCATGTACTGACGGATGATTTTTACCTACAATTCCTGTCTCCCTAAAATGTACAAATCCAAACTGCAGCCCACCTGCGCAGGACCCCTTGCTCGAGAGGTCGTCGGCATGGCTCTGGGGGTAACACACATTTGGCTCAGAACAAACCTTTTTAAATTATTTTGCAGAGTTTGGGTTTTTTCTTTTTGTTAACAGCTACAAGGACTCGACTTCACAGACACGTCAGTTCTTCCTATTTAATTTGTACATTTAACACCATCCCAGTCAAAATCCACATTTCTGGAGCTATGACATTCATATGGAAAAATAAACAGGCCAAGGAAACCCTGAAAAGACAGTGGAAGACGCCCAGCCTGTGAGATGGAGCACTGGTGTAGCACCGCAGGGCGGGCTCCCCCGTGGAGAGACGAGCGGGCCGCCCGTGGCCCAGACCGGGGGAGAGAGAGTCTGACAGACGGTGCAGGGACAGTCTGGTCAGGCAGACACACACCGTGCTGCACGGTGCAGCGGAGATCCGGCGTGGACAGACAGACACACACCGTGCTGCACGGTGCAGCGGAGATCCGGCGTGGACAGACAGACACACACCGTGCTGCACGGTGCAGTGGAGATCCAGCGTGGACAGACAGACACACACCGTGCTGCACGGTGCAGCGGAGATCCGGCGTGGACGGACAGACCCGTGCGCCACCCCTGCCAGGCCAGCTCCAGCCTCTGTCGCTGTGTCAGAACCACCCATCAAAGGGCCCCAACGCACAGATCGACTCCATAAACCAGAAAACGAGAAATGCAGGCGGCAGGAAAGCCACCCTCCGCACCCTGGGGGACACTCGCACCGTCACTAGGGAGCCGGTGTCCCGGTCAGGTGGAGACTGGGAAACCTGGAAGAGCCAGGTCGAAACTGCAGCAGAAAGTGAGCAGGAGACGTGACCGGACAGTTCACAAGAGGTGTGTGTATGCGCATGCATGTGTGTGTCTACACACGTGTACATGTGTGTGCATGTACGGTGCTTACACAATACACACATGTATATGCATGTGTGCATATATATTTCTTAAACAGTGAAAAGATGTTTGATTTTGCTCATAATAACAAAACTACGACTTAAAACCTTGCCTACCAGACTGGCAGAACTGGGGAAAGCCGCAGCTTGGACCTCCCATCTGGAGGACTGGCACTACCAGGGACGGAGCTGCCACAGAGCACGCCGGCCCCTGCAGGAGGGACAGGACAGCTCACTGTCCCCAAAGGCAAGGAAGTTAGGGGGGGGGAATCAAAACAAGGGAGCAATTTGAACATAAAAATATACCAAAATTAAAAATCAAATAGATTACACCTAAGTGGACACATAGGAATTACATTTATTGGGTATTGGGCAGGTGGGAAGGGGAGGGGGACGGGTATATACATACATAATGAATGAGACGTGCACCATCTGGGGGATGGTCACGCTTGAAGCTCAGACTTGTGGGGGGAGGGGGGCAAGGGCATTATACGCAACCTTAAAATTTGTACCCCCATAATATGTTGAAATGAAAAAAAGAAAAAAATCAAATAGATTAACACCCTTTGAGTACATTTAAAAGAACAGTTCAAATTGATACTCAAAAAAAGAAAGAAAGAAACAGAAAAGCTGGTGGGGAGGGAGGAAGCGGTGGCTGACCTCTGAGGCGCCCCGCCTGCCTCGCGGGCTGCCCTGCCGGCTGGCGCAGCCAGGCTCAGATAAGAACGCCCAGGACGGACGCAGTCAGCACTTTGCATCCCGCCTTCCCGTAAGCGGCCCCTGAGCCGCCGCGCACTCACTTTTTCCGCCGTCCCCCGCTCTGCCCCAGCGCTGTGTCACGGCCGGCGGGCGGGCCCACCCCACCCACGCTCCTGCAGCAGGTCGTCCCTGCCTGCCAGGCAGAGGCTGCGGCTTCAGGAGGGCCTGGGTGTGGCGGGGCTGGGGGCTGCCCCCGCCCGGCCCCAGTCTCGCCTGGAATCCTGCGCAGCTCTGCCGCAGCGCCCTCAGGGCCCCTTGGCGGAGCGGCCTCCCCTCTCCCCTCCCCACTCCAACCGGCCCAGGCCCAGCTCCTCTTCCTCCCAGCAGTGGGGAGAGCTGTAAGCCCCGCTTGGAGCCGCAGGTCTGCAGGGCCACAAGGGCAGAGTCCAGGCTCTGCAGAGGGGCCGGGCTGGACCACTTGGGCTCAGCTGGTGATGTGGGCTCGCTTGAGCGGCACCCTTGGGCGCAGAGGCAGGGAGACTTGGTGACCTGGGTGCAGCTGCAAGGCCCGAGGGAGGCTGGTGGGCACCGACCAGACCAGTGTGGGAGGCCTAGTGGCCTCGGCTTCAGCGTGCAGGTGGTCCAGCGTGGACGGCACCACTTCATGTCTGGGTGGGGCGCCTGAGTGTTTGGAGAGTTCAGAATGTGGAGGGTCCTCGGAAGGGTGATGGGGTGGCGTGGCCACACAGGCATCCACCCCACCACCGGCCTCAACTGCTGCGCAGGTGCCCCTTCTTGGGCTTCTCGGTGTTTTCTCTCCTGTGTCCCGGCCAGGCTGCCCCACCCACCAGTGGGGCCACCTGCATCTGTGCAGCCCCAGGGGCAGCGGGCCAGGGCTGCCAGCGCCAGGAACAGCACAACCACACGGTCGCAGGATCCAAAATAAATTATCACATAATGTAATATTATTCAGCCGTGAAAAGCACTGAAGTTTGCACACCGTGCTCACAGCAGCATTTTTCACAGCTACGAGCTGGAAGCAGCCCAGGTGTCCATCAGCAGGTGTCTGGAAACACAGAACGTGGCGGCACCGTGCCATGGAACATCCTTCAGCTGTGGAAAGGGAGAAAACGCCGACACCTGCCGCGGCGTGGACACGCCTGGAGGACACGCCAGCGAAGCAAGCCGGCCACCAGAGGACAGGTAACGTGTGACTCCACTTGGGTGAGGCCCCCAGAGAAGTCAGACGCAGAGGGACGGGGCAGGCTGGTGGGTGCCAGGCCCGGGCGGGGTGGGGGTTAGTGTCCCGTGGGGACAGTCTCAGTTTGCGAGGTGAAGAGTTTCAGTTTCGGGGCTGGGAGATCAGACTGAACGGCAGAGACGGTGGGGAGCTTGGGCCTCGGCTATCTACCGACCTGGGGCTGCCCCTGGGCTGCGTGCGGGGGAGGGTGGGCCCCAGTGTCAGCCTCCATCCCTCACTGAGGTACAGAAGGGGAAACTGAGGCCCATGGAGGTGTACCTGTATTAGTTAGGGCCCTCCAGAAAAGAGAACCCAGATGGTCTGGAGAGAGAGTGGGGGGAGGGAGAGAGAGACAGAGACACAGAGACAGAGACAGACAGAGACAGAGAGACAGAGACAGAGAGACAGAGACAGAGAGAGATAGGGACAGACAGAGAGACAGAGAGAGATAGAGAGAGACAGAGAGACAGAGACAGAGAGATAGAGACAGAGAGACAGACAGAGACAGAGACAGAGACAGAGAGAGACAAAGACAGACAGACAGAGACAGAGAGAGACAAAGACAGAGAGACAGAGACAGAGAGACAGAGAGAGACAGACAGAGACAGAGAAAGATAGGGACAGAGACAGAGAGACAGAGAGAGACAGAGAAAGATAGGGACAGAGACAGACAGAGACAGAGAGACAGAGAG